CGATTCTAGTGCGGACCCAAAAAAGGGCCCTGCACGTTTTTGGTGCGGGTGCGGTGCGATTGGCTCCAATCGCAACGCACAGAAATCGCATGTGATTTGCACAGGAATGCGCTGCGGCTCCTGTGAGAATTACCTGCGATGTACCGCACAGCATATATGTGAACCCAGGCTAAAGAGCAATGGTCAAAAATTCCTCCTGAACGTTGTGCAGGTCTGATCCAGAGCTACTGCAGTTTTTTACTTGAAGTCATTGCTGCCAAAGGAAGTTCGACCAGAAATTAACTCCAATTTGCTCGATATAGCCAGCAGTACTAATGAGTATATTCTGCTTTGTCAAATACAGTCAGGTCCATAAATATTGGGACATCTACACAATTCTAACATTTTTAGCTCTATACACCACCACAGTGGATTTGAAATGAAACAAACAAGATGTGCTTTAACTGCAGACTGTCAGCTTTAATTTGAGGGTATCTGCATCCAAATCAGGTGAACGGTGTAGGAATTACAACAGTTTGCATATGTACCTCCCACTTGTTAAGGAACCAAAAGTAATGGGACAGAATAATAATCATAAATCAAACTTTCACTTTTTAATACTTGGTTGCAAATCCTTTGCAGTCAATTACAGCCTGAAGTCTGGAACGCATAGACATCACCAGATGCTGGGTTTCATCCCTGGTGATGCTCTGCCAGGCCTCTACTGCAACTGTCTTCAGTTCCTGCTTGTTCTTGGGGCATTTTCCCTTCAGTTTTGTCTTCAGCAAGTGAAATGCATGCTCAAACGGATTCAGGTCAGGTGATTGACTTGGCCATTGAATAACATTCCACTTCTTTCCCTTAAAAAACTCTTTGGTTGCTTTTGCAGTATGCTTTGGGTCATTGTCCATCTGCACTGTGAAGCAGCGTCCAATGAGTTCTGAAGCATTTGGCTGAATATGAGCAGATAATATTGCCCGAAACACTTCAGAATTCATCCTGCTGCTTTTGTCAGCAGTCACATCATCAATAAATACAAGAGAACCAGTTCCATTGGCAGCCATACATGCCCACGCCATGACACTACCACCACCATGCTTCACTGATGAGGTGGTATGCTTTGGATCATGAGCAGTTCCTTTCCTTCTCCATACTCTTCTCTTCCCATCACTCTGGTACAAGTTGATCTTGGTCTCATCTGTCCATAGGATGTTGTTCCAGAACTGTGAAGGCTTTTTTAGATATCGTTTGGCAAACTCTAATCTGGCCTTCCTGTTTTTGAGGCTCACCAATGGTTTACATCTTGTGGTGAACCCTCTGTATTCACTCTGGTGAAGTCTTCTCTTGATTGTTGACTTTGACACACATACACCTACCTCCTGGAGAGTGTTCTTGATCTGGCCAACTGTTGTGATGGTGTTTTCTTTACCAGGGAAAGAATTCTTCGGTCATCCACCACAGTTGTTTTCCGTGGTCTTCCGGGTCTTTTGGTGTTGCTGAGCTCACCGGTGCATTCCTTCTTTTTAAGAATGTTCCAAATAGTTGTTTTGACCACGCCTACTGTTTTTGCTATCTCTCTGATGGGTTTGTTTTGTTTTTTCAGCCTAATGATGGCTTGCTTCACTGATAGTGACAGCTCTTTGGATCTCATCTTGAGAGTTGACAGCAACAGATTCCAAATGCAAATAGCACACTTGAAATGAACTCTGGACCTTTTATCTGCTCATTGTAATTGGGATAATGAGGGAATAACACACACCTGGCCATGGAACAGCTGAGAAGCCAATTGTCCCATTATTTTTGGTCCCTTAACAAGTGGGAGGCACATATGCAAACTGTTGTAATTCCTACACCGTTCACCTGATTTGGATGTAAATACCCTCAAATTAAAGCTGAAAGTCTGCAGTTAAAGCACATCTTGTTTGTTTCATTTCAAATCCATTGTGGTGGTGTATAGAGCCAAAAATGTTAGAATTGTGTAGATGTCCCAATATTTATGGACCTGACTGTAAGAACTGCCTGACCCCTCACACTATAACCAGGATTCCCCAAGCAGCTCTAAGGCTAGGTTCACACCTATGTAGTTTGCATTTGATCCCTTTCTGCAGTGCTTTTTGTGGTGCGTTTTGCATTTTTGCACATGTGTTTTGCATTTTTTTTGCCAGCTTGTAGCTTGGCTGATTAAAATGCGAAATGCATCAAAAATGTGTCAAAACACATCAAAAACGCATTACATGCATTTCTGAAGCATCTCCATTGAAGTCTATTGAACCAAAACGCAATGTTTTGCATTTAAAAAAGTCCCTGACCCTTTCCAAAAAAACGCACCGGGTGAAAACACGGAGATGTGAACGTGTCCCATTCATGTTAAATGGACTTCATGTTAAATGGACTGTAGTGCATTTCTGCAAAATGCAAAATGCATCACAAAGCACTTAGGTGTGAACCTAGACCAGTGGTGGGCAACCTTTTTTTTCAACTGAGCCAAATCTCGCCAAAACCACGATTGAAATTTATTTTGAGAGCCACATTTTTAAAACTGAAAATACATAGGATGGTACACTGTTTTTAGTTTCAATAAGTTTTTATAGTAATTCATCCCCCATAGTAATTCATCCCCCATATAGTAATTCATCCCCAATAGTAATTCATCCCCCATATAGTAATTAATCCCCCATATAGTAATTCATCCCCCATATAGTAATTCATCCCCCATATAGTAATTCATTCCCCATAGTAATTCATCCCCCATAGTAATTCATCCCCCCCATATAGTAATTCATCCCCCATAGTAATTCATTCCCTATATAGTAATTCATCCCCCATATAGTAATTCATCCCCCATAGTAATTCATCCCCCATATAGTAATTCATCCCCCATATAGTATAATACATCCCCCATATAGTAATTCATCCCCCATATAGTAATTCATCCCCCATATAGTAATTCATCCCCCATAGTAATTCATCCCCCATATAGTAATTCATCCCCCCTATAGTAATTCATCCCCCATAGTAATTCATCCCCCATATAGTAATTCATCCCCCATAGTAATTCATCCCCCATATAGTAATTAATCCCCCATATAGTAATTAATCCCCCATAGTAATTCATCCCCCATATAGTAATACATCCCCCATATAGTAATTCATCCCCCATAGTAATTCATCCCCCATATAGTAATTCATCCCCCATTAAGTAATTCATCCCCCATAGTAATTCATCCCCCATATAGTAATTCATCCCCCATAGTAATGCATCCCCCATATAGTAATTCATCCCCCATATAGTAGTAGTAAGTAAGTAGCAAGTAGTAAGCCAAGTCCCCCCTGTGTCAATTCACTTACCTTTGCTCCGCGCGTTCCTCTCGCCGTGTTCCCGCGCCGTTCCGGTCTTCAGGGCGGACTGTGAGAGGAGCCTAGCTCCTCTCACGTTCGTCACGCTGCCCCCGCCTACACACATCCTGACAGCCAATCACTGGCTATCAGGATGTGAGTGGCAGCGAGACTGGCCAATCATTGCATTTGAGCGCGCTGCCCTGGCTGTTTTTTTTTTTGATCATGCTGCAGAGTCCCTGCCGCCCAAGAGGAGGGAGGGGAGCGGGCGCCCGGCACACAAGAGCCGCATTAAAGCGTGTAAAGAGCCGCATGTGGCTCGCGAGCCGCGGCTTGCCGACCACTGACCTAGACTAACAGAGAACTGTGGCTATTATGTCCATTCCTGAGAGCTTAGCAGCAAAAATACTGCACTGATCACAGTGTTCTCTGCTGTACAGCAGCATTAAAATGAGTATTCCCGCACTGTAACTGATCGGGCTGCTAAGGGGCAGACATGGATGGATTAAAGGCTGCTGGTAAAAACACAGCTGGGTCACTGGTGTGCAATTCACTTTATATCTCCATACAGCTTTGTTTTCTTATTGACTTATATACAGGCCATAGACGGTTCCTTTATCGGCCGATTTTTCGTCCGAAAGAATAATCGGCCTGTTAGTGGGGCAATGGCATCAGCCGATTTTTGCGGTTCCTCCTCATTCTTTTATCGGTCATGCTGGAAAATTTGTGAAAAATGGCTGATTTTTGCAATCATTGGTGGCAACAGAACGACCGATGTTTCGTTTTTCGGACGAAAAATCGGACAATAAACGAACCGTCTATGGCCTGCATTACACATTATAGAGTTGTAGATTTGGAAAATGTAGATTCAAAAACGATGTGCAACTAGCTTGCTTCTTTTTTTTTTTTATTACAGGCACTTATATAACACCATCATATTACATATATATTGTACATTCACATCAGTCTCTAACCTCAAGGAGCTTACAATCAAAAGTCCCTAACTCACATTCATACATAACATACTAGGACCACTTTAGACAGGAGCCAATTAAGGTACCAGCATGTCTTTGGAGTATGGGAGGAAACCCACGCAGGCACAGGGAGAACATGCAAACTCCAGGCAGGTGGTGTTATGGTTGGGACTTGAACTGACGACTCTGGCACTGCCAGGCGGAAAAGCTAACCACTTAGCTACGTCCCTTAAAGGAGTATTAGCACTTTGGAAAAATCCTAGCTGAATCGCCAAAGGGACCAAGCGCATATAGAGCATTATCCCATCCTGATTCACTGCCTTTGTGCATTAAAAAGATATTTTGGCTGAAACCCAATTTATGTGCATTCCTTTGCATTCATATGCATTCCCACAGTAGTCACTGCCCCCTCTCTCTGCCTCTCTGCTGCCCTTTAGATAGCACTGACTGTTTACATAGTTTGTATAATTTCTTCTTCAACATCTTCTATTGCCTGGATGTGCCTCAGGGAAGCACCCCTTCTCCAGTTTGTACCTCCTGCCAGAGACTAGTAATGTCAATTAGCCCTCATTACATATTGGTTTTGTTACAATGGAATCTGAAAGTCATGGGATACATTAGGCAGCAAGTAAACATGTTGTCCCTGAAGTTGTGTGTTGAAAGCAGAAACTATGGGCATCACAGTGTTCTTGTGTATGGAGCTCTGTAGCCGCAGACCACTCAGATTGCCCATGAGGACTCATGGGCAGGGGCGGACTGACCATTTGGAAACTCGGGCACTGCCCGAGGGCCCGGGGTCAGTAGGGGGCCCCATGAGATGCCCCTGGTACATTTTCATAGGCTTTTTTGAGTTTGGGCAAGGACACAGGGGCCCCATGATCCCCTATTGCCCGGGGGACCCATGAGTTGTCAGTCTGCCCCTGCCTGGTACCTTTTTCATAGGCTTTTTTGAGTTTGGGCAAGGACACAGGGGCCCCATGATCCCCTATTGCCCGGGGGCCCCATGAGTTGTCAGTCCGCCCCTGCTCATGGGTGCACAGCCAAAAGGGTCTACAGTGGGCATGTGAGCTTCAGAGCTGGACTACGGAGCAATGGAAGAAGAAGGCCTTGTCTGATATGAAAGACAGTTGGAAGACATGGCAAAGATGGCACCAGGATGCAGTATGAGAAGAAGCCATGCCGGTGGAGGCAGTGTGATGCTTTCAGCAATGTTCTGCTGGGTAACCTTGGACTGAGGCTGCAGCAGGGGCTGATCTGTGTCAAACACTTATTTAACTGCTGAGTAGATTCATTATATCTGGAAACCATTGTCTCTAAGACAGAAAGTAACAGGAATTTTACAGTTGTGTAGCGCAAACCCCGGCAGGAGTCGTTTGGTATGATGGATTCGCCACAACTCTGTGAACTGCTCCATCCTCTTTGACACATCTGGTTGTAACTTAAATATTGGTATACCACCCACTCTATATCAGCACACAAGACGTAGACCACGAGTTACTTGATGGCAGATAAAGTGAATATATTGTTGCAAGGCAGGATGCAATGCACAAAAAGCAGTAAACAGGTGACTGAATATGTTTGAAGATATTAAACAAAGTAACAAGATTATACAATAGTACTATAATATGACAATCAAAGGTTTCACAGTAACTCTCTGCAATAATCAATAAAAAAAACTGTCCCAGAGTGCATTCTGTGATCATACCCCTGGATGTGGGTATGTGTAGGTGTTCCTGAACAGTGTAGCCATGGAAGGTGTTTGTATAATACCTGGTGCCTAAATTGCAAATTTAACAGTTGGGCCTGTCTGTATGGTGGTGCACCAAAAGTGGTTGTAAACCCTTACATACACCCAGTGAAGTGACTAGCCTCAGGTGTTACACAAAGGTGAAAAAATCCTCCTACATAAGTTGTACCTGTTTAGCTGTGGCCTTCTCTTCTCTACATCCAAGTCCAGAATTTATACAGCTTGTCTAAGCTTTCAGAAAGCAGGGTGGAGGAGATGAAGTTACTCTCCGCAGAGCTCAGTGACCCTAGGTTCACACCTAAGTGTTTTTTGCAGAAACGCACTACAGTCCATTTAACAAAACTTCCTATGGGACATGTTCACATCTCCACGTTTTCACCTAGTGCGTTTTTTGGAAAGGGTCAAGGACTTTTTTGAATGCAAAATGTTGCATTTTGGTTTTATAGATTTCAATGGTAAGGCTGCAGAAAAGCATGTATTGCATTTTGGCCGTGTTTTTGCTGTGTTTTAAATCTGCCTAGCAACAAGAAAATTTTAAATTAAAAAAAAATTGCAAAACACATCAAAAACGCAAGTGCAAAAATGCAAAACTCAATGCAGAATCACCTCAAACGCAACCTGCATAGGTGTGAACCTAGCCTGAGAGCTGATTGGAGGGAAGGAACACACCCCCCTCACACAGCGCACGGGAACAGACTGTCAATCACAGGCTGTGTGCTGCACCTCCCTCCCGTCACCTTTTTACCTTTTGGTGTCATAAAAACGTGACGGAAGTAACTCATACTGATAAAAGAGGAACCAAGCAGCAGACAGAATTGACACTCGGTTCACACTACTATGACCTGAAAGTCACGTGACTTTGCCAGGCGACTTGAGTACTACTTTGAAGCAACTCTGAAGCAACTTTCAGGGAATGCCTGGGTAATCTTCCTGTAATGTCGGATCCAAATCACATCAATACAGATGAGGATCCAACTTGGAGGCAACTTCCATTAAAGTCTATTGGCACAAGTCGCCTTGAAGTAGTACAGGGACCTTTCTAAAGTCAGAGCGACGGTCTCATAAATCGGATCCCAAGTCGCAGCAGTGTGAACTGAGCCGGGTGCTCTGGATTGAACCTCATTAAGTACACACTATGGAGGGATACGCTTTGTTCATATTCCATGTCAGGGATTTACAACCACTTTAATTACGGTCCCTGCATGTTAAGGTGCCTAGAAGAGACTGGTCCCCTCCTGACAGGCTATGGGCAGTAAGGATCACACACCACAGTGGCTCACCAGTCCTGGCAGTACAGCTGATCTTGCTCCGGGCTCTTGGCTGCCTGGCAGTCCCTCTGACCCTCTCTGCTCCCCTTCCCTGTTTTCTGAGATCTGTGGGTGTTAAACTTTGTAGCTGCATTCCAGGAGTACACATCCCAGTGTTCCATGCGGCTGCTTTGTTATCCAGTCTCCTCCTCACAAGATCTCCACAGCTTGCTGCCAGGAGGGAGGAGAATGGAGGGAGTGGGGATTTCACACACACAGTCCATACACAGGGGGGGGGAGCCTGCAGCCGTCCATACACACAGGAGGCCTGGTGCTTCTGTTCTACTAAGTTATAGTTATCAGCAGAGCTAGATGTTGGGGAAAGCATTTCCTCAGGCTCCTCTCCTCAGTGATCAGACTGCAACCTTTGAAGCAGATTACAAGAAAAGAGGCTGCAGCAGGGACTGATCTGTGTCAAGCTTTTGTGAACACAGCCAGGAACTGCACATACCTGGATTTGATTAATTCTGCCATGTTTGAGCCAGTATCTCAATCCAGGGAGTAGATATGGACCCTAGTGCCTTAAAGTGGACCTTTAAAGGATAAGTTCACCTCTTGAAAAGAAAAAAAGGCCAATTTTTTTATAGGTAAAAAAAATATGCATTTATTATTTTTTGTTTTGGGAGTCTGTAAAGCATTGCACCAGCGATCTGCAGATTGCTGGTGCTATGCATGTCTCCTGCAGACCTGTCAGTATATCATTGATTCTTCCTGTCAGTGTATCTGTTTGCCCGTACACCCCATAGAGGGCACCAGATATACTGACAGGACTAATCAATGAACTGCCACGGTGCTCACAGCAACGTGGTAGTTCACTGAGAAGTACAAGCCAACGGTCGCTAAGGCTGCTGGGACTTGTAGTATTCTCATTCACAGAGGACTGTGTTCAGGCACAAGAGAAGATCCTCCACTAGCTGTCAAAGCGGGGGAGTAGCCCCCACTAGCTGTGAAAGCGGGGGAGTGGCCCCCACCAGCTGTGCAAAGCGGGGGAGTGGCCCCCACTAGCTGTGCAAAGCGGGGGAGTGGCCCCCACTAGCTGTGCAAAGCGGGGGAGTGGCACCCACTAGCTGTCAAAGCAGGGAAATGGCCCCCACTAGCTGTCAAAGCGGGGGAGTGGCCCCCACTAGCTGTCAAAGCGGGGGAGTGGCACCCACTAGCTGTCAAAGCAGGTAAACGGCCCCCACTAGCTGTCAAAGCGGGGGAGTGGCACCCACTAGTTGTCAAAGCAGGTACACGGCCCCCACTAGCTGTCAAAGCGGGGGAGTGGCACCCACTAGCTGTCAAAACAGGTAAACGGCCCCCACTAGCTGTCAAAGCAGGGGAACGGCCCCCACTAGCTGTCAAAGCGGGGGAGTGGCACCCACTAGCTGTCAAAGCAGGGGAATGGCCCCCACTTGCTGTCAAAGCAGGGAAACAGCCCCCACTAGCTGTCAAAGCAGGTATACGGCCCCCACTAGCTGTCAAAGCGGGGGAGTGGCCCCCACTAGCTGTCAAAGCAGGGGAACGGCCCCCACTAGCTGTCAAAGCAGGGGAGTGGCCCCCACTAGCTGTCAAAGCAGGGGAATGGCCCCCACTAGCTGTAAAAGTGGGGAAGCAGGGAGAGCAGTGGCCATTCCATTCATAACATGTTACATGTTACACCCTGAGTATGAGTGTAACATGTTACATGTTATGAAAGGTGAACTTCTCCTTTATCCATAAATAACACTTCTTTTTTTGTAATACTTTTCTATTTCTTTAGTTTTTGCATTCAGCTTTCATCTTGACTATCCGCCACATGCACAGATATGCTGAGGGTCTATATACATCTCTCCCAGTCCCATAGACTGGCATGAAGGGGATTTATGGGATTTTACATAGTGCCTTGAAAACGTTTTCATACCCCTTGAAATTTTCCACATTTTGTCATGTTACAACCGAAAACGTAAATGTATTTTATTGGGATTTCATGTGATAGACCAACACAAAGTGGCACATAATTGTGAAGTGGAAGGAAAATGATAAATGGGTTTCAACATTTTCTACAAATAAATATGTGAAAAGTGTGTCATGCATTTGTATTCAGCCCCCCGGAGTCAATACTTTGTAGAACCACCTTTCCCTGCAATTACAGCTGCAAGTCTTTTTGGGGATGTCTCTACCAGCTTTGCACATCTAGAGAGGGACATTTTTGCCCATTCTTCTTTGCAGAATCGCTCAAGCTCTGTCAGATTGGATGGAGAGCGTCTGTGAACAGCAATTTTCAAGTCTTGCCACAGATTCTCAATTGCATTTAGGTCTGGACTTTGACTGGGCTATTCTAACACATGAATATGCTTTGATCTCAACCATTCCATTGTAGCTCTGGCTGTATGTTTCGGGTCGTTGTCTTGCTGGAAGGTTAACCTCCTCCCCAGTCTCAAGTCTTTTGCAGACTCTAACAGGTTTTCTTCTAAGATTTCCCTGTATTTGGCTCCATCCATCTTCCCATCAACTCTGACCAGTCGTTCCCTGTCGCTGCTGAAGAAAATCATCCCCACAACATGATTCTCGATTACATTTGTCATTAGGATGCATAGAGGGGTTACTCTCAATGGTTTCCTCAAAAGTGGTAAAAACTAGACAGAGAGTCTAGGGCTCACCATACACATACACATACTGTCTGACCATACAATCAACTTTAGACCTACCAAAACTATTTAATATGAGGACCTACAGTCCAATCTGTCCAATCAATGTGTATCCAATCAGGCAGGCCCTTCCACTACAAGCGTGTTGGTAGATCTAATGATGATTGTACAATCAGATTGTAATGTGTGTGGTGAGCTTAATCCTTCCCTACTCTATCTAAAGCCCTGTATACATGATCAGAAAATCGTACAAAGAATGCCGCTTTCAAAGCGATCGTACGTTAATCTGATCTGATTAGTACACACCAATCGTCCAAAATTACTTGAAGGGATAAGCAGGAAACATTTTGTTGTAGATACCAGATTGTATGATTTTCGTTTACCAGTACAGTTTACGTCTGAAAATACAATAGAAAAACATGACATCACTTCCAAATTTTTATTCTGTCGTAAGAGAATTTTTGTGATTTTAGTAACCTCTTCACTTTCAATATGAGACTAAAAAAAAATTGACGATCATTTGTTCGATATTCTCATCGTGTATAGGGGCTTTAAATAGAGTAGGGAAGGGTTAAGCTCAGCACACACATTACAATCTGCTTGTACAATCATCATTAGATCTACCAACAAGCTTGTATTGCAGGGGTGTCAAACCGGCAGCTCTCCAGCTGTTGTGAAACTACAAGTCCCATCATGCCTCTGCCTTTTGGAGTCATGCTTGTAACTGTCAATCTTGCAATGCCTCATGGGACTTGTAGTTTGGCAACAGCTGGAGGGCCGCCAGTTTGACACCTGTATTGCAGCGGGAGGGCCTGCCTGATTGGACACACATTGACCCCCCGGTTCACATCTATGCCGCCTTGCGGGCCGCATTTGCACGGGCACAAGAGCCCATTCATTTGAATGGACTCCAGTGCCTGTGGCACGCAGGGAAGAAGTCTCTGCACTTCTTTGGAAAACACAGCCCGCACAGGAACCTCGGTTCCCAGTACGTTGTGTTTTCCAGTGCGGGCGGCGTGCCATTAGGACTAATGGTACCCGCCTGCGGGTCTACATTCCTCTGTGTGGGTGGTGCGGCTGCACGGATTTTCATGCAGATCCGCAGCAGCACCACCCGCACAGATGTGAACCTGGGGTAAAGTGTAACTATAGGCAGAACTTTTCTTTTTTAGTTTTGGACAGAGTGGACTGGGATTAGAATCCCTGTCAGGTTTTTCTTCCTGTCTGGGTCCCCATTAGGGAGAATCACCCTCTCTATTTTTCCTGTTTATTGTTATCTAAAGTGAAAGTAAAAGGAAATCCCATGTTGTCATCCGAACAGGAAAGGAGATGAAATCACTCCTTTTAACGTGCGGAAAGGTGTTCCTTTCTTAAGGCGGTGGCATTGTTTAATGCATTGCACTGTTTGAAGTCTTTTTAATTAACCTTAAGCCTTGGTCCACGCTTCTGTGTGCGCAGGGGTGCCCAAACGTGTCACATGCGTTCCCGCACATCATGTGTAGGCAGCCAATTCTTTTCAATGGGCTGCCCTACCCGCAAGAAGCACAGGGAAGAAAAGTCCCTTAACCTTGTTAAAAAGCAACCAACTGCATGCATTTGTAGATGTGTGGGGGGTGCTATTAAGAATTAATGGGACCCCCGATCATCTACTGAAGAGCAGCACATTTCTGTGCATCTCAGGAAAGCGTATGATTTTGTCTACGTTTCGGACACAATTTATGTGCCGCCGCAGTTCTGAGCTGCTGTGCGGTGATATGTGGTGAGCTGCTGTGCGGTGATATGTGGTGGTGAGCTGCTGTGTGGTGATATGTGGTGAGCTGCTGAGCGGTGACATATGGTGAGCTGCTGTGCAGTAATATGTGGTGAGCTGCTGAGCGGTGTCATATGGTGAGCTGCTGTGCAGTAATATGTGGTGAGCTGCTGTGCGGTGATATGCGGTGAGCTGATGTACAGTGATATGTGGTGAGCTGCTGTCAGGGCCGAACTCTCCTGAGGTTTCAACACTTTGAGTCACTGACAGTATGCAATTAGGAATTGTGACTTCACTTCTTGAATATTTATTCCATATCAGTGAATTTAGAAGAACATTGAAGTAGTACTAAAGCTAACATAAATCCAATTGATAAAAATGTGTTATATTTCAGTGTACCAATTCTAAGGCCTTATGTACACTGGGCATTTGCTCAGCTATTCTGAATTCCTTTTCTCCTGCCCGGAGAGAAGCAGCGGTAAAAACTCACCTAAAGCTGCGTGTTGGGTAGGTGCAGCATAGTGCAGTGGCAGTACCCAGTGACCCAAAGTGCAATAACTGATGTATTGAAGAACTTGCAAACAGTACAACACCCGTGGCTCACCCAACAAGGAACTTATGCAGGCCATACATGGTTCGATTTCCGAACGATTTTTCATCCAAAAATCGAAAACATTGTGCGCTCGGTAATCCGATGGTGCCATC